TAGAATTAGACTAATCTTGAATTAAAACAGATTATCAAATACAACTTACAAACAGAAAATTACTGCTTATCAATTCTCCCAATCTGTAATATTACAAACTGATCAAATTCCTGTAGAAGAAGGTGTAATTAGATACATATCCAATTGCCAAAAGAACTCTCATTCATCCACACTACCTTATTCTCATGTGTATTCTTCAAAATTGTCTTAACATGGTGAATGTTCCTTTAAGAATAAAATATAATAAAAAAATATAAGAGATCATTTAAGAATGTTTGTAAATGTTATTTATCATTATTATAATGTTATGGTGAAAATGGCCTCAGGCAAAATTTTGCAATGCAATCAAAGTGGAGAGAAAAAATAAGTGTTTGAACTAAATACTGATATTCATAACCATTCCACAAAACATTTTAATGAATCATCTTTTTGACAACTCTTTAACCAACTTTTCTTTTCTAAATTTTTGAAATTTGAAGTGCGAAATTTTGTCACTTCCAGTTTTTTCCCTATTTACAAGAATTAAATATTCTGAAATCGAAATTTCAAAACACAAAATATTTCATTCTATATACACAACTAAAATAATACCATGTAACAACATTTTATAATTAAATCTTTTGATAAAAAAAGAGTACATTTTTAACAAGATAGCTGAGACGATTCTTCTAGAAAAACAGTATACTTAGATACTGTTTTATCACCTAAACAAAACTTAAAAGGGTTTGCAAGATTACACTATGTTCTACCGTACAGGATAGTGCAAATTTAATTACAGAGCAATCAGACTATTAAGCAAGCACTGGAATGCAGAGCATAATTGATCATTAATGGAAGCTGTTGAATCAAAAAAGTTCCACTAAAATCCAATAAGAATGCTTCAACACCATAAATTATTCAATTTCCCTCGAACAAACACAGGAAGTCCATGATTTACAACGTGAAGTTAATTGAAATTAATGCATAGTTTCATAATTATCAGTTATCTAAACTGACAATTGTTCCATTATTCACTTACTTAATGAAAGTATGTCGCAAAAACAGTTCATATAATAAAAATTGTTTCCCCCAATTACAAACTCAAATTATAGTTTCTAGAATGAAAAGGAGATATCAAATTTGTTTTACAACAGAATCCGTTCCAACTTCTAACTGAAGAAAGAGGAACCTTCAGCAATGGCCCTGGGAATTTAGGGTTCTATATAAAAAACCTATACCATAAATTACGAAAACTCAGCCTTCTGTGGAACAAACATTAATAGGCAATTTCTTGACAATCAGTGCAGACACCTTTGTTAGAATCTTTAGATACCTGTTCTGGTTTGAAAGATTTGTAGATGTTACATCCTGATGACCCAGAAATGGTTAGGATGAAGAAAATATAACTTGGAGTTGATCAACATATACAAAGAGACCTTATAAATTAGCTGAAATTAAATTCAAAAGAATCCAGTGGCTAGGATATACAGAAGGATACAGTGACAAAGATTCTGAATGGATTTCAAGTAAATGGACTTGAAAACAGTGGTTGGAGGAGAAGAGTAATGCAGAGAAATGAATTAGCCAACACAGTGAGATGCTGAGGCTAAATTCAATGGGCCATACTGCAAAAAAAGAAGAAATATTGTTCAAATATTTTGGTCTTAGAGAGAGGTGGTCAGTTTACAGTTAATGTTCAGTTGAGTTCCACAACATCCAACAAGGTTTGAAGTTCCACCATGTGTCTACATTAAGATCTTAATTGTAGAAGAGGAGTTCCGAAAGGAAATGGAAATTATTAATCCTTTTAAAAGAGTACATAGCCATTTCACTGATGTGAAAAATGTTCTAATGTTCACGAACACAATATTAAAAAGTGTCAATAAATCACCAAGAAAATTTCATGCTACGCAAACCACAGAAAAGAATGTTTTTCATGAAACCAAATCCTAACAATAAAATACCAAATTTATTTTTTCCCCAAATTGTTTTATTCTTTCCACTCTTTTAACCTTGAAAAAATTAGTACTGTCAAATTCACTTTCGAAGAGACTCGACAATTCCTATCTGTTAAGATACGAATTTGATCAGTACAATTTACAAGGCACACTCTGAAGAATTTTTTAACTGAGCATAAAAGAATTCCTATATGCTTGGTCCTACCAACTTATTTTCTTACCCACTTACTTGAAATAAAATGCATAAAGTTAGGTACTTGAGAAAGAATCTTACAGCTTAAAATATTCACTTGAAAATTCACTTCCTCCTAAGTCAAAATTCAATTTATTAAATGAGCAAGCAAACTTATTCTCAGAATATAACGGGTTATGGGGTGAGGAAGAATATTTCTATGGGGTTAGGTATTTGAGGAAGAGGACAAAATTTAATTTTTTAGATTCCAACTCAATCTTGAAAGTCTTTCCCTTTAAAGGAAAAGATATATAGAAAAAACATTTCTGGCACATTCAGATGTGGAAGCTGCTCATAAATCTCTGCCGTTGATAATCACTTATTTAATCTTCTGATAGAACCAGTTAAGAAGTACATCTCTGCTTAATCCAACATTTATGCAACTGAAAGGTGATGGTTAGTTCATCCAAAGTATCCAATTAAACTTTACATTTTGCTAAGGAATATAAATCTCTTCCTTATGAACTGTCAACAATACCTTGCAAAAATATTGGTTTTCCAAAACCAAATATCAGCACAAATTCCCAGTTGATAACATGATAACTGTATTAACTATGTTCTAATTATTATGCTGAATAGTAACCAAAAATTCAAATGTAATGTACTTATAAGATATGCATGTTACTTCAAGTTAAGGAAAATCTCAGTTCTATAATGGTGTAGTAGAATTGATTATATTGCAATGTTATTAACAAATAATCAATACAAATTACAAAGACTGAAATTACACAGAAGGTGCTAAAACTGAACTTATAAGACTAATTATTTGCTGCTTAGTTAAAACATGTCATAAATAGTGGCAAACATACAATGAATGAGTCAATCCTTATTAAAGATGAATGCAAGAGAATTAAAAATCCTACGCATACACACGTACATTTCAAAAATTTAAATGCCAATGATATTTGGGAAGTGTATCATCATTCAGATCACACAACTGTTTCAATTTTGTGGCACGATTTTCCACACTTAACAAATTTTATTACTTTAAAAGATATTTTCCATCAATTGCTTTTTGAAATAGCTGCAAAAAAAAATTAAAACCATCACAAAAAAAAAAACTTCACTAGCAGGGTTCAAGAAGAACATGAGAAATATTATATTCACAAACTTATCTACAATATGCCACTAATACTGCCATGTCCCATTTCTATCAAATATTTCTTTTCTATTTTTACATATTAGAATAGAAGTGTCAAAGTCACAAACGCCATACTAATTTTAAAACAGAAAATGTGGAAATAAATGCACCTCACCACAATGGACAGAAATAGGGACAGAATAAGAGACCAGCAAGTACGCAAGTCACTTTCGCCAAATGCTACAAAAATGCTAAATATCAGCAATTACAGTTCCATAAGCCTGCAACTACCTAAGGAGCTCACAACCATCCTCCCAGAACCAGCACGGCTACAGCACACATGGAATGAGCCAGGGACATGCATTTTAACACCAGCTAGAGCTACTCTGCACCAGAAGGGGCTCTGGTTAATCAAGTAGCCCTGCAGGTTTAATCCTACAGGAAAAATATGTGCAAGCACTCCATGCGCCCACGATACTTACTCACTGCGGCCGGCTCGGCGCCGACGACGAATAGACAGTTTGGAACCCCCCGAATTCTCAGCCCTAGAATAAACCTTAACTTGTATGGAGCATGACAACATTACATACCCCTTAAATGTTACAAGTTACTGAAGATTATTTAATTTTCAAGTCTTACTCATTGCAGAGACTGAGCGTGGCCAGATTAAAACTATTAAGTGACATATCATCTCTGCCACATTGATATTTTTTTAAAAAGCTTTGGCTTGACTTCATACCAAGAGCCATACATGTAACAACAGATCAGTTGTTATAAAGATGATGTGGATCAACATACATCTCCCATAGCTCAGTGGTACAATGAATAAACACAATTTTAACACACATATTAGTTACTAATGGGTAAATTTTGGGATGTCATTTACTATAGTGACAAGTGTGTTCTCCCTAACCTTCCCTGACACACAGGTGACTGCTATTCGTATGACAGAATAAGATAATACGCAGCGAATGGAGAATCCAAATAAAAACATCAATATGATTATGCAATACATTAGTATTCACAACTGTCGTTGTGACATACCTACCTGTAATATGACAGAAGTCCATTAGATAACACGAACCAACGTCGCTGATACCCTTTCAAATAATTAGTCCACTTAAATAGCCATCCTTTCATCTCTGCTTCCCCATGGGTTGATTTAACCTCCGCCATTTCGATTTACAATGAACAAATCTATTACAAACACATAACAGCTAACCACGTATCACATATCACCATTTTCAATATGGCTACGGCCGAGCGCGGCGAGCCTGTGCACCACCGAACATATGTAATATGATTCCGCGAAAAGAAGCAATCTCGAAATTAAAATTTAATGCATCGATGAAGTTCGCCACTTCACTACAGATTTTATGCACTTAGAAAACCATTACAAATAAAGAAACATGTTCTTTTAGTTTTCACAATGAAGACTAAGTACTGAGAGTGGGTTTAGAATACGCAGGATTGCACGTGAAAGTAGTTCGTGAAGCATCAAATCCGATTTGTCTTCAATAGGTCTTTACATAACCTTAACTAATTTAAAAATAGGTAAATTACAAGTAACTTCAATGTACTACGTGTGTAGGGCTTTTTCTTATCTGTTGATGATTTGTCCTAGATTAGAAGTCGTGTCATTTAATATGTATGTTATTAAAGTGTTAAACTTGAGATGTTTTCAAGGATAAATGTTTAATGCTGTTTGTCACAAGATTTTTGGACCTAAGAAACAAAATAAGACAGGGAAACTGTGGTCACTTTTTTAATATACAAAAAAAAATACAATAATTCACTTTTTCATACATAAATTAATATAGCTTGCATCACTTTTATATAATAAATGTACATGCACTAGTAATACTATAAACTTAACCACTCATAGCAGTATGTCAAAGGCTCCTTAGCATTATCATAAATTTTTTAGTTAAGCAAAGTTATTTGGATATTTTGTTTGGAGATCTTTTTGTAACAGCCATAGACTTGAAACTTGCTTCACATTTTTAGTAAATTTGTTATGCAAGGGTTAGGTTACCCCTTTCCATCAATAATCACAGTAAATATTTTTATTTCTATCACAGTTAATCATATTCTATCAATAGCAGAAGACATCACAGAATTAATTAGTGTATCTTCATCGTAATTTCACACCATGATCTATAATGAATTGTGAAATTATGTTGCAACCAAATATTTACAGCAACTTATAAAAAATAAAACAAAAGGCATTAAATGTGCTTTTTATTCAATAAATGTGCCAGAGCGACTTCTTTTGGGCGTTCTGGAGCAACTGGTATTTGGAGAATCCTTGGCATTGTCTTTGCATATCTCAGCACAATTTCTCTTCACTTTCAAGTTTGTGTCCAGACTAGTCAGAACCCGAGATTGTGGAGTCATCTCCCTGAAACACCAATGCAATCAACATTCATCAGAACTGTAATTGTTCTTCTAATAAGAAAATTAGAGTAAACAAGGAAAAAATACAATTACATATAGGTACTATTGTAGCGGAAATAAGTTTCTATTATAATACGAACATTCTACTGCAATGCATAGAAATTTTCCATTGTGCCCATTTCCAGAAATGACATTTACTTTCAGATCACTAAGATAAAGGTGTTACATATAAGTTCTAGAATCACCTCCTAAAAAAAAATCTTCTGGCTATAAAGAGAATATTAACACTAAATCAATGGTCGTACAGGCTGTGAAAGCTCAAGTCTATTGGCTCTTAGCGGTGCAAGCCAAGCAAAGTCTATGCCAGCAGTTTAACTCGAAAGAAGGCAATCAATCATCCGTAACATCATCCCTAAGTGATACTCATCTCGTCTCACACTGACAAGAGCCAACTCGAAATAGAATAAATGCTGATTTGCTCTCATTTGTACATTATGTCAATTCTAAGACCAACTACATTGGGTGATTTGATGTACTTGGTCCTGGATGTTTCGTTTTCAGAGTAGTAAAGATTAGTGAGTATATATGAATATTATGTCCAGCAATCCAACTGTATCCCTATATAAAAATATTTGCATTTTATAATTTGTTAATGTATTATGTTAAGGGGAAGTAGAATTTCCAGTTATTGTCCGCCACAACAGATTGTGTAAAGATCCTGGTAAATTTAAAACATTTGTTACATTCAGAAACATGGTTAACTCCTTATAACCTCTTGTTATTTTCTTTCTTATTTCAATTTATCAATATTTTGTAATATTTTGTAACACCTTTTGCATGACATATGGGTTACTTGAACTTTAGTATTACTTCAAGCTGTCATATGAGAGTATATCTAAAGGAAAATTCAAAGGACATAATCATCTCTGTGAAACAATGTTCAGTTATTTTTGTGAGTAAATTGCAGTGAACTGAATGCATTTACTGCCTCTTCCCATTTCATACTTGTGCTTTGTTTCTTGCTTTTGCTGGTCATTTTCAAAGGTGCGTTAATAGTTATGGTAAAAGAAATGAATAATTTAAAAGCCTACAAAACCGGCAAGATAGTATGTAGCTGCAGTAATCTCTTTAGAGGAGTTCCTTTAAGAAGAACCAGTTCATCAGGTCGGGAAATCGTCATATGGAGCAATGGCACTGCATGAGATGCTGATGAATAGGGAAAGGATTTTAAGGTGCAGCATATAATCCGTGAAATCAGTATCAATTAAACTATCAGTCTGAAAACAGCTTTAATTTTTTTAGTTGTTTTCATACTGATAGTTTAATTGAGGGGATGAAATGAAGTGAAATAAACAATTTGCTGTACCTTTTTATGAGATTACATTTTTATCATTTTTTCCCTCTTTTTTATGCTTCAGCAACTTCTTCTCCATTCTTTTCTGGGTTTTTAAACGATTGGGCAGAAAATTTATTTTTCTCTCTCTCTCTCTCTCCCTCCATCTTTTTAAAATCTCATTTATTCAAGTCAATAACATGAAATAAATATTAAAATATCTTTTACGTAAACCACCAGTAATGTATATCCCAGTAACAATGGTCAATCTGCAACTGTAAAGTCAAATGAAAATTTCAATAGTGTTGCTGCAACAGCTTAGCCGTTTCCTGCTGGATTTGAAGTGCTAACCAAACAGGCAAATCAGGTTCTATTAAGTGGACGTTTAAATGGGTGTGCATAAATACACTTGTCTGTGATCTGAGGAAAATTTCACCTCCAAGTCATCATATCACCATCTAAGTAAAAGAGCACTGGCAGAGCTTGTGCACTTGCGAGAGGAAAGGGGAATAAGAGTCGAGGGAAGTTGCCTATGTTTGGAAGAGCAGCGAGGTTCCTATGCTGGCAAGAGTTTGTGCAGGCGCAGTTTGACGCGCCTGCAAAGTATATTATACTATGGGATCTGAGGTTAAAATAATTTCAGTCAGTACTGGCAATTATTTAACAGTTTTCTATATAATACAGAGTCGGAAAAGTACTATGATCACTTCTTAAGGACTCTATAAAGAAGAAAAATTTGGTGCAAAATGAGTATATTCTAGAAACAGTCAATGTAACTGGTTTAAACCTTACTGTAGTTTGAGCAACACCTTTTTTTCTATATTTTCAGATCCTCCTTCCCCCTTCTATGACCATAATTTGCACCTCAAAATCCTTTTCCTAGTGATGAAAAACATTTACTAATAAGCTAACTAAACAAACATTTATGAATTCAGTACTTGGACATAACCTGCACCTATGTTGTCTGCTGTAATCAAGCAATAGCTCTTAAAGCAGTCCCTTCTTATAAAATTCTTTATCACCAAGGGAATTATGAATAAAGCAGCATATTTGTCACACATATGAATTCTTTGAATAAATACTTCTAAGGGAAACATGAACATGCAATCTCTCTAGAACTCTTCTTTAAATTATCAGGCTAAAATTAATTAGCCAGCTTGAAATATCCCTTGGCTGTTGATACTTTGGTAGGATTTTGTTTTACTTGACAATATCTTCAATAAAACTTAGTTTATTACTCATTCTGATGATAATATAACAGTCATAATAATATAACATAAGATCTCACAGATGACTAAAAATTTCATGTGCCTGTTTGTGTAGATGCCTCTCCTATCATCACCATTTCAAAATATCCCAACATTCTTTCTGTGCCCTACTCATCAAACTTAAACCCTTTTTGGCCTTTATTTTCTTCTGAATATTTTTTAAGACAACCTAATATTTTAAACTGATTAAATATTTGTACTTAAAATAACCCAAACTAACACTTTTTCACTTCATACTGAAGTATAATATCTTGCAAAACAAATGCACATACAACCAATTCTGGTTGTGGAGAAGTATGATATAGTGAACCTAAGTCACTGGTCCCGTTTCACTTGCATTACAAATAAGCATAAGAAGATCCGGTTGTAGTGAACCTGAACCACTGCTATAGTAAAAATAACAACCTGGAAATTAATTCCCTTCGGGAAAAGAATATACCACGTCAGTGCCATGATTCCTATACTAGGGAGCTTGAAAAAAATATACGCTAAAGGTCATAATTGAAATAGTCTCCTCTGAAGTGAAGACAGCGGACCCTAATGGGGACCTTGCTGATTACATATGCCACTCAGTTTTAAAGCTTGATGGTACGTGATCTTTCGCGAGTCAAAGCGTACTGTATTCTTTGTAGGCAACAGGGAGAGCATGACTGCCACAGCCCTACAGCCTCCTGATACTTGCTGTGCCACTCGGAAAACCTATCAAGTTTCAGTAGCCACTTGTGCTTTTCTGCAATCGAAAGGATCTCGTATGTTATAAGGCGAGAAAAAAGGGCCTTTGAAGTGGGGCCCATCCAATAGTGCATGATTCATTGAAGGGTGCCAAGACCACATTACGATACTTCAGAGTAGGGGACGATGCAGGATCTAGTATAGCAGCAGCATGAACTCTGGAGAAGGATCTACAAATTAGTAATAAAAAATGTCGATGAATATAAGTCTTGAGCAGTGAAGTTCTGCAAAAAAAATTAAATGGAACTCAGCAGCATCACAGATGAAATTTTTTACAGAGATGATCACTATGGAATGACTGTTTTGGGATGTTTATATTTGGCTACTTGATGGTGTCACTGTCTCACCACATTCAAAATGTGGAGTGTTTTGTTAAAAACTCTTAAATTGGAATTAATTTAACCCTCACTCCCCCTGTTTCAAAGCTAAATGTTCCTCCCATCATGCTCAAGAGACCACATTAAAAATACACGTCTGGACTACTTCACATAACACCAATACGTTCTAAAATATAAAAATCCAACTTAAATCAAGCGAGAAAGAAAGAATTAGCAGGACTTGCTGCACAAGAATACAAAAGGTAATAATAATGGTGATAACTGTTTGTAATAATAATGGTGATAACATTTACCTATTAAACCGACAATATACCTTACTTTTAAAATTCAGTTTTCTGAACCAATCTTTTGATAATTAGCAACTAATTATGTATTTTTAATCTGTGCTGATATGTCACTGACCTTACACTCAAGCATTAAATGGGGGTGCCCATAAAATCAACAATTTTCTCCTATTACTGACAGGATGAATTAAGGGTATGCATAGAACTTAGAGCTTGCTAAGATACACACATTTGACACACCACAAAAGAAGACTAATGTTGTACAAAAAATTGATTTAATGTAAATACGAAAAGAAACTTTTTAAAAAATTAATGCAAGAAGAACAATATTTTTTTTCCCGATGACAATTCATTAAGAATTGTCAAACTACTAAAATTTTCTTATATTAACAGCTTGAAAGAGCGCAGTGCTATTCTACCTACAATGATTGCGAAAACTACTGCTTCAAATAATTTTTTATTTTTTTATTTTGAGAAACCTTTGTAATAATTGAAGTATTATAAGGCATTTTAGGGTAAAGAAAAACATTTTTTGTAGTACATAATTATATTACATTATATATCGCCACATTTGCCTAATACCAACAATTTTATTCACACACTGAACACATGTCATTTGACTTGTCCTTAAGTCAATAGCAGTGGCATGCAAAGTTCTTCATCTAGGTTCAGTAAATACAACTACTGGCATGGATTGTTTCCAGAGACCATTTCATACAGAAACCAAGAATTGATTCCATCTAAATCGATGTTATAAAATACTTGGAGAGTCCAGCATCCATATTGAGATTTGATAGTGGGAGCATATTCCAATCACATTTAAAACATGCAGTCATTTTGACTACCCGTCATGGGAGGTTAACCATGAAGCATTAGGTATTATCTTAAAAGATAAGATGTCTAAAAGAATATAATTTCCGCATTTTATCCCCAAATATTTAAAAAACTTAATCATTAAACAGACACAGAAGAACACAATTTTAAAAAAGTCGAAATGACTGCTCCCGTCGTACTAATGTTAACATTCACACACAACCGTTTCTCCTCACATCAATTGAAAATTCGGAGTGTTGAAGCAAAGCTCGATGAGGAGCCGAGAGTAGGTAGGTACCTGCTGGGCGAGTCGGGGGTGCGCCGGCGGGCGGGCGTGGCGGTGGCGGACGCGCGGTGCGGAGTGGCCGCGCGCGAGTGGCTCCCCGCGCGCTGGTGGCTGGGGCGCAGCCTCACGCCGCGCAGCTGCTCCAGCGACACCAGCGGCGGCGGCAGCGTCGACGGCCTCCTCTCCAGGGGCTCCAACGTCGCCGTCTTGCGCAGCTGCACGCGCCGCAGGTCCTCCACCGTGATGGCGGGGCGCGCGGGCGCCGCCGGCCCGCCCGGTGCCGACGTCCGCGTGCTGCGCTCGCGCCTGTCCGCCGCGCCGCGCCTGGGCCGGGGGGCGGGGGCGGCGGCGTGCGGGGGGAGGCGGTCGGGGGGTGTGGGGCGGCGGAGGGGAGTGAGGCGGGGGCGGGGCTGCGCGGGGCAGGGAGCGGGGGTGGGGGCAGCGCCGGCCGCGCGGCACGCCTGTTGCTGGAAAGCTCCAGCGGCGCCAACGTCGATCTCCTCTTGCCAGGGCGGCCACTGTTGGGAGCTCCGCGGCAGCGGAGCGGCACCCGAGGCCGTCGCCGCCCCCGGCCTCGTCTGAAACCGCCCGCCGCGCGGGCACGTCCGCAGAGCTTCGCGTCCGTCACCGAGTCGTGGAGGCGGGGGGCGGGCCACCGCGACCGCACTGTGGCCAGGTCACGCAATGCCGCAGCAGAGGCCGCACGTCGCAACGACTGGCAAACCATGGCCCAGCGCACTTGCTAGTTTCGCTCGAGCAGCCACCTCGTACAGCTGCGTGGGGAAATGCCACATGGCAACTTACAAATACTCAACTCCGCTTTTTGTTCAAGGTCTCAAGACAAAAGTAGTAAATATATTAATTATGAAGGTTCAGTTAGCTTAACTGAAGTCTAAAATAGATCAGCTTTTGAAGTAGTAGCTATTTTTAACGTTATAAAAACACGAAAACTAGCCTGGCGCAATTAGAGGGGTTAAGAACTAATCACCGGCTAACATTTTATGCTAGAAAATTAAAGTTAAAACATGGATTTGGGTCGGAAATCTCCAACTTTTAATTTGAAACTTCGATTGTTTTCTAGTAGAGGATGGTATTTCTATCTCTCCAGAAACATTCACAGTGTCGTATGAAAGTTGACACATATTCTTCTCTAAAGAAGGAACTAAAATACGGTTGGGTTCTGAAAAAAAGACAAGGTCGATTGGTTCATTTAAATAATTACGACGATTGTGAAACCATCGAAGTGCAAGTTAAATTTCTGACAATCCGCACGCATGAAAATTGTTGCGGCGCTTTTTTTCATAAAATCATCGTGGAAAGTGATTAACATGTTTCAAATTCTTCTACTATTTTTGATATATATATATATATATTATATATCACTACACATTATAATATATAAATATATACTAATATATATTTATATATATATAATACAATATATATATATAACTATATATATATATATTTTATAATATTTATATATATATATTATATATATATATATATATAATATATATATATTCTATATATTTATATATATATATTTATATCTATATTATATATATATAATTATATATATATATATTATTTATATTTATATATATATTATATATATATATTATATATATATATATATGGTCTATTTATATATATATGATATATTTTATATATTTATATATATATATATATTATATATATATATATATATATATATTATAATAATATATTATATTATTTATATATATATTATATTTATTATTTATATATATATATATTTTATATATATATTAATAATATATATTTAATTATTATATATATTACGGACTGTAAATATACTAGTTACAGGAAACATGGCTTTTTGAGCTTATCCACTACAGGATTCTCTCGATCCCTACTGAAAAGCAACTATTAAGTTTTTGGGCCATGTCGTTAGGTCAATACAGAGGTAATAGCAAGATTTATTAATGTGTATGCTGACGTTTCGCAACCAATCAAGTCCGTTATTCTGATATGCAACCGTGCGATGTTCAATTCTCTAATACTACTAAGCACTACCTAATTTTAAGCAAAAACCGTAAACACTAATATTTTAAAAATCTTTGATGGGCGATTCAACTTCCGCAAAATCCTTAAGAGCAACCGGCCCACAACGCTACTCTTCTTGCCGAGCCACTCCAAGCGATGAGCTGAATGAGGCGCAGCAGCGGTGGCGCAGCAGCGCGCCCCAGCGCAGCGTCTACAGCAGGAGGCGCGCGGCCGCCGCGGGCGTGGCGAGCAGCGCGCGCTGCCCGCCCGCCCCTGGCCACGCCAGCGCCGCCCCGCCCGCCCGCCGCCTCCGTCTCCTTCCCCCGCGCGGGCTCTTGCGCCGCCGCCCCGCGCCCGCGAGCCTGGCCTGGCGCTGGCCGTGCTGCCTCGCGCCGCCACCGCGGCAGGCAGCGGGTGCGCGCCAACCGGCATTCTCCGGAGCCGCCACCCTGCGCACACACACAACACGCGCCTTTCTTCACCACCAACTTACAAGGAACGGCTGTGAAGCAACTTTGGATTAAAGCGCAATAATTTGTAATGAGCTATTTATTATTTCAAACATAAAAATATTTAAATTACATGTTTAAATTGTAGATATAATTTATTTTTAAAATTTTGACATGTTCCATAGTTTTTAAGGTTTGCTAAGGGTCCGGTTTAAAGTATTAATCCCTGGAATGCCGTCTCTATACGAAACCGAATGATCGGTTATGCTTGGATCGGATTCAACATGTTCATTCGTGTAAGAATAAAGCATTCGCTGTCGAGTAAAAACCTTGTCATCTTTCAACATCATGACACTAGATGTTACTTAGATTTAGTCCAAAAACAGTAAAAACTGTATGTGACGTATGGGGGAGATTGAGATTATCTGTGCACGTTTTCTTAAGTTCCAGAATCCCATCCCGTCATTTTAACTATAAATAGTTGAAAGACGAGTACAAGTTTAAAATAAATTTTAAAAAATTAAAAATCGCAAGTTTAGCAATATTTGAAAACGGACATTTTCGTTTCCGAGTTATAGAAAACTTATTTACATCTGTTCACGAATTGCAAGTATGATTTTTCTGAATCGCTAACTCGAAATAACGACTCGCCCTTACCTCTATTCTTACCATTACAAGCAAAAGGAGTGTTCAACAAAACGTGCGCAAGTGAAGTTACATTTACATCCAGCAGCAAAACAAGGGGCCATCTTAGCATTTGCTCAATGGATCAGGGAAACTGGACAAAAACCTGATCGAGATAGGGACTTATAAGTATTATTACTGATGTTATTTTAAAAAAAACAAACAAACTGCTTTTTTAGAATACAATCAGTTTATCAAGCATTAAAAACAGCATTTCAAGCATGCTAGTAAACCACATCCACATATTTACTAAAGAAGACGGAAAACTACACTTTGACTTATCTATAGTGGCCGATGGCATTAGGTCATTGCTACACCTGCCTTATAAAACAAATATTTTTAATTAGTTCCCGAACGTCCTTCCCAACGGAGCTCGTGGCCACTGTTACACTGTTAAAAACTTTGATTTTATAAGGCAGGAGGTGTAACAATGTCACAATGTCATCGGCCTCAACAAAAATCAAAGTATACTAGACGAAATTTACTGAGAAACCAGACTTATTCCCCTGATTTTTCCCCGTAAATACAGCAGATCATGCTTATTTTAAGGAATGAATGTCCTTGTTAGCACAAGTCATGACATCACAGTCCGAGGATGGAATACTGCGCCTTAGGAATTAAGTAACGATCAACCTTACAATGAACTCGACCCATGGGAAGTATGCATAGTTAAATAACACATATAATAACATGCATTGCAAAAAGAGTAAATTCTGTATTTTCAAAACAGTTTCACGACATTTCAAGAAACCTTAGCTGAAGAGGCTAATTGACAAGCTTTTCTTTTATGGAATCTCCGAAAGAATTATGAAAGCAGGCAACAATGTGAGGGTGGGAGCCAGGGTGTCACCCAACTCCAGTGCAAAAGGTAGTTCGCATCGGCGATTCTTTTGTCTTGAAAGTTTTCCCCTTTCATTACGAAAATATTTTGACAATGACGATAAATATATGTCCACGTAAAGAAATGAGTTCCAGATGAGAGTGGATTATAAGGAGACTAAGGAGGTTGCCAAAAGCATTCTATTAATCACGTGTTTAAGAGTATTAGAATATATTTTAAACAAAACTTAACAATTCATAAGTACGTAAAATATATGAAATGGAAATTTAAAAAGTTCAAAGGTTACTTTGTTTTAATTTTAAAAGTAAACTATCTCAATATTATTTGTGGGGCCCTGGACGTGGGGTTGGATGTTTACCGCGAGCGAAGCATGAAGGGCCACGCGCGGGGGCAACAGCACGGCCGGCGCGCGACCGTCGCAGCACGTGACAAAAACGGCGCCCGCCCACATCCGCGCGTATACGAACAGCAGCTGCCCCAGACAGAGCATGGCGCCCTCATCGCTGGCCCTTCGGTGCGGAGGCGTATGCCGAGCGCCGCGCGGTAGTTCGTTCCCAAGACGGAGCGGACCGCGAGAGCGAGGGCAAGGGCCAGCGATGAGGGCCATCGCTCTGTTGTGGCAAGTGCTGTTTGTATAACGGCGCGGTGATGGGGAACGGGGCCGGGCGCGGGTTTTGTCACGTGCTGCGACGGTCGCAGCGCCGGCCCGTGCTGTTGCCCCGGCGCGTGGCCCTTCATGTTCGCTCGCGGTAAAACATCCAACCCCGTCCCAGGGCCACACAATAATATGAGATAGTTTACTTTGTAAATTAAATAAAAGTAACTCTTTGACTTTTTTAAAAAAATTTTTCCCGCAGTTTTTTTCCGATATTATTTTGCGGTGAATTATGAATTGTTAAGTTTGTTTTAAATATATTTAATATCTTAAACACGTGATTAATAGAATGATTTGGCAAGCTCCTAGTCTCCTTGTAATCCACTCTCATCTGGATACCATTTCTTTACGTGGACATAATATTTATCGTCATTGTGCAATAATATTTTCGTAATGGAGAAGGGGAAAACTTTAAGTACAAAAAGCCGTATCGAACTACCTTTTTTGCACTGGTTGGTGACACCTGGCTCCACGCCTCGCATTGGTTTGCTGCCTTTCATAATTCTTCGGATATCATAAAAGAAAGCTTGTCATATTAAGCCCTCCCCCCTTCGCAGCTAAAGGATTTCTTGAAAATGTCTGAACACTGTTTGGAAAATACAGATTTACTCTTTTTGCAATGCATGTTGATTATTGTGTTTATTTTAACTATGCATACTCCATGGTGTCGAAGTTCATTGTGAGCGTTGGATCGTTACTTCTAATTCCTAGAGGCGCAGTTCATCCATCTCGCTGTATCTCATGACTTGTGCTGCAAGAAATTTCAATTCCTTAAAAAATAAGCATGATCTGCTGTATTTCGGGAAAATCAGGGAATAAGTTTGCCTTTCTCAGTTAAATTTCGATCTGAGTTACTTTGATTTTGCATTGACGGCCGTGACCGATTTACATTGTTACACGCCCTGCTATATACAAATCAAGTTTTACAGGTGTACGTCGGCCACTGACTCTGTGGTTGTGAGGACGTTCGAGGATGACTAAATTCGAAAATATTTTTTGTAAGACGAAGTGTCAATGAGCTAATCATCGGCCCTATACGATAGTCCAAGTGTATTGCGTCTTCATATTAGACAATTGTAGATGTGGGTATTCACTAGCATGCGTTGAAGATGGGTTTTTAATGTTGATAAACGGATTCTATTCTAAAAATAAGCAGTTATTTTGTTATTTTTTTCAAAGTAAACATCAGTCATAATATGTTATAAGTCCTAATCTCGATCAGGGTTTTTGTCCAGTTTCCTTATTCCATGAGGCAAAGAGATGCTTAAGATGGCCCATTGTTTTATGTCTTGCTGGATGTAAATGTAACTTTCACTTTTTGCCCGCCCACGTTTTTTGGGTTTTGGGAAAACCCCAACTTTTCCCTTGTTGGTTTTCGTTTTTTTGGTTAAAATGGTAAAGGGGAAATAGAGTTTAGCGGACGAATTCTGTATATTTCGAAGTATAAGCGATTCAGGAAAAATCGAATCGCTCTC